TATATGGGGTGCATATATGTTTACCAAGGTTATATCTTCCTGTTGGATAGATCTTTCAATATTATGTAGTGGCCTTCTTTTTCTGTAGTGATGGTCTTCATTTTGAAATGTACTGTATCATATAAGGATATGGTACCCCAGCTTTCTTTTGCTTTCCATTTGCTTGAGAGATTTTTTTCTATCCCTTCACTTTCAACCTTTGTGAGTCTTTTGTTTTGAGGTGGGTCTTTTGTGAACAACATATATGTTAGTCATGCTTTCTTATCCAATCAGCTATTCTGTGTCTTTTTATTGGAGCATTTAGACTATTCACATTTAAGGTGATAATTGATATTTACTTATTTATTGCCATTTTTGTTTAGTGTGGTTGTACTTTTCGTCCTATTTCTTCTACTAATTACAGCAGTCCTTTTAGCATATCTTGCAGTGCTTGTTTGGTGTTAATATATTCCCTTAGCCTTTTTTTTTTGTCTGGGAAGCTCTTTATTTGAACTTCTATTTTGAATGATAGTCTTGCTAGATTGAGTAGTCTTGGATTCAGATCCCTGTTTTTATGAACTTGATTACTTTATGCCACTTTCTTCTGGTGTGTCTTGTGTCTGTTAAGAAGTCAGCTGAAAGCCTTATGTGGTTTCTTTTGTAGGTAAACCTGTTGCATATCTCTTGCTGCTTTTATGATTCTCTCTTTGTCATTAATTTTTGGCATTTTAATTACTATGTGTCTTGGTGTGGGCCTGTTTGGGTTCTTCTTACTTGGGGCTCTATTTGCTTCTTGAACTTGAATGCCTTCCTCCTTCACCAAGTTAGAAAAGTTTTCTTTCACTATTTCTTCAAATATATTCTCTAACCCTTGCCCATTTACTTCCTCTTTGGGGACTCATATGATGTGAATGTTATTATGTTTCCAGTTGTCCCACAGTTCTCTTAAGCTGTCTTCCTGTTTTTTAATTTTTTTTGCTTTTTGTTTCTGATTGGTTGATTTTTTTTCTACCCTGTCTTCTAATTCACTGATCTGGTCCTCAGCTTCCTCTACTCTCCTGGTTAGTTTTTCCAGTGTTTTCTTTATTTCTGCTATATCATTCTTCATTTCCCCTTTGTTAGTTTTCAGTGTTTCTATATCTTTACTCATGGTACTGATGTCCTTTCTCATGCTGTTGAGCTTCCTCATCATCATGGCTCTGAACTCTACCTCTGATAATTTGCTTAACTGCATTTTATTGATCTCATCTTTGATAGTGTTCTCTTGCTGTTTCATTTGGGATTTGTTTCTTTGTTTCACCATTTTGACTATCTCAGTGGCTTTAGGAACCTTCCAAATTTTTCCTGTAGGTGTTGGTGTTTTGCTGTTCGTGCCTCCATCTACTGGGTTGGTAGGGCCTGGGCCAGCCCACATTAAACACCGTTGTCAAGGTCTACTTTCCTGGGTAAATTTGTAAGCCCAGGAAAGGTTCAGTTATCCTCTAGCTTTTTGTCTGGGGCTAGTAATGTCAGTTACTCAGTGCCGTGGTCTGTAGCCCTGGTGTTCTGCATAAGAGGATTTCCAGAGGGTGGGATAGATGCAGGGTTTTAATGAGCCTCGATTTGCATTTCTTTGCCTCACCTGGAAAAGGCTGAATACAGTGGGGAAGGGGCATTGCTGCTTTTCCCCACAGATCTGGGGAGGAACACACTGGCCACCTTCCTTTGTGGCTGCAACTCAGCAAAAACTCTGCCCTCCAAATCCCGGTTGTCCTCACAGAGTTTCCACCCAGTCTGCCCTCCCTGTGCTGTAGTCCCCAGGTGAGTGGCTGTGGCTATTTTAGCACTCTGTCCTGGCTCTCTGCACTGTGGAGCAGGCTTGGTCTTTATTCCCCAAGGGTGCTGCTCTCAGCTAAGACTATTGTTGTTTGTTGGTTCCTAGCCCGCCACCCTCTTGTGCCTCCACAGCTCCTACCAGTGTTCCTGGTTACATGGTCCTGTCCTGCTGCTTTTGTGTTGCTTTTTCCCAAGAATTTGTTTTCATTTTAGTTGTAATTTTTGTTTGGTCCTGGGCGATTGTCTGTGTAGCTTCTATTCACTATGCCTCCATTTTCACATCCTCTACACCTATCTTGTGGGCCGCGAGTTGGCACAGGCCTTTCTGGTGCCCCCGCACCCTGCAGATCCCATGGGTAGCTGGATGGCACAGTCTTTGCTGCGTCACACAGGCCTCTCTGGAGCTTCAGTACCCCACAGGTCCTGCAGGTAAGTGGATCACACAGTCCCTCCTGGGTCTCACAGGCCTCTCTGGTGCTTCAGCATCCCGCAAGTCCCCTGGGTAAGTGGATCACACACACCCTGCTGGGTCGCACATGCCTCTCTGGTGCCACTGCACCCTGCAGGTTCCAAGGGCGGCCAGATAGATCGGACCAGTCTCTCTCGAGCTCCAGCTTCCCACTGCTCTTGTGAACTGCTAGATCACACAGGCCTCTATGCACCCCCAGATCCTGCTGCTGGTGGCTGGGCAGTGCTGCTGCCCTGTGGGGCTCAACTCCTGCTGAGATTTTGCTGTAGTTTTGGGGGATGTGTCTCAGCTGCTGGTCTGTGCTCCTGTTGCCTGGGGATGGATGTCTGTTCCTCAGCCTCTGTTGCTGGGGGTATATCTCGACTCTGATCTGGCTGCTACTGTGGGGCATGGTGTTGGACTCCCGGCAGTCTGTGGCTTCCATGTCCGGCACCTTGGGAGCTCCACTACTATGCACCGGCCTGTGTTGACACATAGTGTCCACTGGTCTGATGGTGCCAGATGTGCTGGTAGGCTCAGGTTGCTGGGATCTAGCTGCTCCCACTGCCTTCTTCCAAGGAAGCACTGGGATCTTCCAAAATGATGGGACCTCCCTGTGGCACAAGGAGAAGCACCCTGAAGGGCCGCTTTCCGCAGTAGCCAGCTGTTCCTGTCTACAGAACAGGAACCTTCTGTTCCAGTCTCTGCACTGAAGGAGTTTGGTTTTCCACCTTTACTTCAACTCATACTCTCTCATACACTAGCTATTCTCTCACATACTCACCCTCCCTCCGGTCCTGCCTGCTGCCATCTTTAGATATTTACTTTAGAAATTTGCCACAAATTGCCTGTGCAAAGGAACAATGAGTTAACAATTTCCATCCCTTTGGTTATTATGAGGAATTTAACAAAACTAACTCTAAGTCATTTCAACATATGCATTATACTATTTGCTGACTAAATTATGGGGACTGTCACAAAAATTCCGTCAGGTTCATATGGCTGAAAACAGTATCAGTAACTGGTATATGTTTTAGGTGTGATTCTACAAACTTCCAGAGTAAAGGTACACTAGAGTAGAGAGATTCCTCTTGGTAAATCAACTTGTCAGTTGACTATAAAGCATTCTGAGACATTAAAATAATGAAGTTTGAATCAGGAATGATGTGGTTTAAAGTTGTACCATTTAGTGAGTTGTGTACTACACATTAATGACTTCTCTAAGACAGTTTTGAGCTTGTGAACTGGGAAAAATAGTAAAAAAAACTATTTAGAATAACTACTTTATAGCTATAATGACAACTCAATAAAACAATGAGTTTTAAAACTATGGAGTGTAAACGAATTTAATAAATGAAAGACAGTATTATTTATTCCATCCATAGTCAACAGCACTACTAGGTGGCAAACATAAGCAGATTAGCAACATACAAATATTATGTAAAAGTAATAAAGAGGATTGGTCCTTATTAAAGATCTCAAAGTACACATTACTCATGAATATTCAGGTGTGTTAGATATGAGTAAACATTGGAATTGTATGAAACCATTCTCTTTCTGGTGTGCCTAAAAATAGGATTTAACCTCTCACCATTTATCGACAACTCCAAGCAAAAGTTCACCTATTATTATTGCTTTTTTCCCTCATCCATCCTTTGAGCTGTCTTCCATTAGGCAGTATAATGACTGAATAAATAACTGTGACTAATTCTGTGTTTGGAACATCATGTAGTATATTCCTTGTGCATTATAGATCATTTAAAAATAAAATTTAGCTAATATGTGTCATCAACCATTCATTTAGTCATCCAACAAGTAACTATTGAGAGCTTACTATGTTTCAGGCATCTTTATTAAAGGGGGTACTGTGGTAAGCAAGAAAGTTAAGATTCAAATTATCATTGATTGATATTCAGAGGGGGATACAGAAATAAAAAAGTAATAAAACAATAATTAAGATAATTTAAGACAATGAAGATAACTATACTATGATAAAATGATAGAAGATGCCAGGGTGATGAGAATGTAGAAATCAATGCTCATTTTCATAGACATATGAGTTCATCTTTCTGAGGAGACATTATAATGAGTAGAGAGGGTACAGGAAGAGATAGAGAAGATAGTCATGGGTTACATTACATAGGACTCTGGAGGCCATGATAAAATATCTCAATCTTATTCTGGTTTTGATAGGTTGCTACTGGAGGGTTATAAGCAAGAAAATTACACGACCTGATTTACACTATAGAAAGAGCATTATGGAGGAGAGGGAGGTCAAAAGCTTCTAGCTTTGAGTGAAATACTCCTGACTAAATTGGTTGTGAGGAAGGTGAAGTGATGTGGTGAAAGACCATAGGAATTTCTGATGGATTAGATGAAGGGAGAGTGATGGAAAGAAAGAAATTAAGGTTGATTTCTACAGTGTTGGCCTTAGCAATTCGATGAATTGTGATGCCTTTTACTGAGATGGAGCTCACTTGGAAGAGTAACAAGTGTGTGGGGAGAAATCATGACAGCATAGAAAATGGAATACAAGCTGAGTCTAAATAAGGTATTTTGGTTAAAGAAAAAATAAATCTCTTATTTCCTAAATGTCTGATTTCATGTTTTATAATACAAGATTCTAGTGACATTTTTCTGTGACTTGCTATATTGTGCCAAACTTAGCCAAGTAAATTTATTACATGAATAATTTTCAGAGAATTAAGATAATACTCTTTTACATTTGCTAATTTTTCTTATGTTTCTTCCTGGGTAGGTCTACAAAAAACTTCGCTACCCTCTTTGTAAACCTGTGTGTCACTGCAGAGACATATGAGATCTCTGCTCTGTGGTTCCTGTGGTATGTGAAGCAGTGTGGAGGCACTACCAGGATCATCTCAATAAGCAATGGAGGACAGGTACCCACCCCCACTATTCCCACAGAAAACCACCATTGCCTAAATGAGAGATTGACATTGTCCTTCAGTCATGAACGAATGAATCAGGAAGCAGGCTTGTAGTTCTTAGAACTGTATCATGGCAGCTCAAGGTGGCTTTTATGAGGGATAGTCTGTCGGTTAGGTACCCAATGTGAGAGCCCAGCAGCCAGTGTAATTTAAGATTTGGCTTGTCTCATATGATAAAATGTTCAATGTCACTAATCATCAGAGAGATGCAAATTAAAATGTCTATGAAGTATTACTTCACACCTGTCAGAATGGCTGCCATCAACAAATCATCAAACAACAAGTGTTGGCGAGGGTGTGGAGAAAAGGGGACTCTAGTACACTGCTGGTGGGAATGCAGACTGGTGCAGCCACTATGAAAAACAATAGGGTGTTTTCTTACAAAATTAAACATGGAACTGCCATTTGAACCAGTGATCCCACTTCTAAGAATATATCCTAAGTGGCCTGAAACACCAGTCAGAAAGAATATATGTACCCCTATGTTCATAGCAGCACTATTTACATTTGCTAAGGTCTGGAAACAGCCCAAGTGTCCATCAATAGATGAGTGGATAAAAAAGCTGTGGTACATACACACAATGGAGCACTGTGTAGCTGTAAGAAAGATCTCTTATCCTTTGACACAACATGGAGAGACCTGGAGGCTATTATGCTAAGCAAAATAAGCCAATCAAAGAAAGACAAATACCACAAGATCTCACTTATATGTGGAATATAATGAACAAAATAAGCTGAAGAGCAAAATAGGCCCAAAGACATAGAATGGATTATAGTTCATACTGACAAAACTCAGAGGAATGGGGCCTTGGGGAGGGATGAGATAAACCATATATGCGTAACCAATGGACATAGACAGCACCCCTGTGAGTGAGCGCAGGATCCGGAGAGAGTGTCTGGGTGGGGGGGGGGAGATATCTGTAAAAAAAAGTGAATTAATAATAATTAAAAGAAAGATTAAGCTTGTCTCTTTTATATACTTTTGCAGTTTTCCATTTGTATGTACATTCAATTATTATTTGATATGCTTATAGAAGAAAATATGATGGATATAACTTCAGTACTTCTTTGGAAATACAACAAGAAAAGTCAGAATTATGTGTCATTCATTCCACATTCCATTATGTGGAATTCATTTATTCATTCATTGCCTATTTCCTGAGCCCCAGCATTGTATAAGGCACTGTGTTGGGCATAGTAGGAAGTGGATTAGAGTTTTATATAATCTTGTTAGTCATTTTCTTTTTCTATCCTTTTCCTCCTCACCTTCTTCCTCCTCTTCATTCCCCTATTCTTCCTTCTTTCCCTCTTTTTTTCTTCCTCTTATTCTTCTTCCTAAACCTATTTGAAATATTATTTTAAAAATTAAATGATCGGAAAATTTAGGAAGAAGCAGTCAGCTCAACTGCATGTACAACTGTGTAGAATATTTGCTTTAGCAGGGCTCAGGACAGATGGTGCAGTGGCCACAGAAGCAGCAGGCACCCAACCCAGAATGAGATGGGCAGCTTGTAATAGGGAGTAGGCTGACCTGAAGATAACTGGGCCAGGGAAGTTCTGAGCCTGAGTAATAAGGATGGGAAAAACAAACTCATGCAAGGGATGGCCGAGCTATAGGTATAGCTTCACCAGACCCAGCAACTCATTAGAAGGTTGTAGATAATACACAGAGCAGGGGTAATGACCAGAAAGGTGGGGCATGTGGTCTGGGTGAGGTTGTCTGGCTGAGGTTGGAGCCAGGAAATTCGCAAAAGCATGGTGGTGGCGGGGGGATGGGGGATGGGGAGGAGTGAGTCTAGGGGAGCGAAAGGAGAAACATCTGTAACAAAAATAAATTAATAAAAATTGAAAAAAAAAGCATAGCATAGAAAGTGACTGCTAGAAAACCCGTAATTTTGTTAAATCCAACAATCACTAGTTAGACAACAATGGTAAAAGTCACTATTAACAGCAAAATGAAATTTTAGATATATCACAAAAAGATATATATTAAATGATACCAATTTAATAATTTATACCCATTTGTATATTTCTCACCCACCTCTTTAATCCTTTTTTTTTTTTTTTTTTTTTTTTTTTTTGCCAGGAGAGGAAATTTGTGGGTGGATCTAGTCAAATAAGTGAGCGGATAATGGACATGCTTGGGGATCGAGTGAAGTTGGAGAGGCCTGTGACCCACATTGACCAGACAGGAGAAAATATCCTTGTGGAGACACTAAATCATGAGGTGTATGAGGTAATCAAGAGCCTTAAACTAAGAGAAAGAGGCTTGAGTCCCATAGATAATCAAAGCTTAAATAAAAGCAAGAATATTCCAGACTTTATAGATAATCCCTTTGCCTAAAGTGAAAAAGCTAACTATTTGAAGAAAGGAAAAGAGAACCAGAATATTTTTGGGGGGATTTATAAAAACATATATTATCAAACTTCTGTATTGGGCTTCTACATAATTAGAAAAACAAAGAAAATATTTAATTATAGATATCAAGTTTTCTATGTGCTAAGCAATATTCTAAGAGTTGGAAACAGAATAATGAACAAAACAGGTAAAATTAATTGTCTTTATGTGGCTTACATTCTAGTGAAGGAGAAAGGCCATAATCAAACATATAGTTAAAATATAAGGTATGCCAGATAACAACTACTGTGGAAAGAATCAAGAAGGGAAGGGGAAGGGTATGCGCCAGAAGGTGGGGATGGGACAACTGGCCATACAATTTTAAATAGGTTTTCAAGGAAGGACTCATTCAGAAGGTGATGTTTGAGCAGAAAACCAAGAGATGAGGCACTGAACCATGTAACTCTCTGAGGGAAGAGCATTCCAGGTAGACAGAACAAGCAGAGCAAAAGCCCTGAAGTAGAAACAAGCCTGGCATGACAAAGGAACTGCAAGATGGTCAAAATGGCAGAATTAAGGATTGCAGGGAAGATTAACAGGAGGTGAGATCAGAGATGTAATAGGTTTTCATTTCATGTAAGGTCTTAGAAGTGACTGGGAGGAACTTGGTTTTGACTTTAAGTGTGATGGAAAGTCATTGGAGGTTTTGAAATAGGGAACAATATGGGCTCATTTTGGTTTTAACAAGATCTTTCCAGTTTCTCTGTTAAGAAGAGACTGAAGTGGGGAGAAGAGTGAAATGAGGAAGAAAATTAGGAAAAAAGCACAACCCACCAAAAATGTTTAAGCACATGTTTTTGTTTTTTCCCCTTCCAGGCTAAGTATGTGATTAGTGCTATTCCTCCTGTTCTGGGCATGAAGATTCATTACAACCCTCCTCTGCCAATGCTGAGAAACCAGCTGATCACTCGTGTGCCTTTGGGTTCAGTCATCAAGTGTATCGTCTACTATAAAGAGACCTTTTGGAGGAAAAAGAGTGAGTATTTTCCTCAAATAAAGATCTTGAAACTTGGTGCAAAGACACACATTAGTATATAACTGTTTTTATTAGAATTATGGACATAAAACATTAGTCCATGTTCTAAGTACAATGTCTGAAATTGTGTTGCCTACAGTTTCTTCTAGGATTTTTATGGATTCATGAGTCACATTTAAGTCTTTTATCCATTTTGAATTTATTCTTGTGTAGGGTGTAAGTTGATGGTCTAGTTACATTTTTTTGCATGTAGCTGTCAAATTTTCCCAACACCATTTATTTACTTATTTTTTATCCTCACCCAAGGACATTTTTTTGATATTTTGTTCAGATAGAGTGGGAGGGAGTGAGAGAGAGAGAAACATCGATGTGAAAGGGAAACATCGAGTGGTCTCCACCCACACGACCCAACCGGGGCCACGGACAAACTGCAACCAAGGTACGTGCCCTTAGCAGGAACCGAACCCGGGTCTCTCCAGACCACAGGCCAACGCTCTAACCGCCGAACCAAACCGGCCAGGGCCCAACACCATTTATTAAAAGGGCTGTCTTTACTCCACTGTATGCTTTGCCACCTTTGTCAAATATTAATTGAGCATATTGCCTTGGGTCCATTTCTGGGTTCTCTGTTCTGTTCCACTGGTCTATATGCCTGTTCTTGTGCCAGTACCAGGCTGTTTTGATTACAGTGGCTTTGTAGTATAACCTGAAATCTGGTAATTTGATCCCTCCAACTTTGTTCTTCTTTTTCAAGATTGCTGTGGCTATTCGAGGTCTTTTTTGGTTCCATATGAACTTTTGAAGTATTTGTTCTAGTTCTGTGAAATATGTCGTTGGTATTTTGATGGGGATTGTATTGAATCTATAGATTGCTTTGGGTAGTATGGACATTTTAATGATGCTAATTCTTCCATTCAATGAACATGGTATGTGCTTCCACTTTTTTATATCTTCCTCTATTTCTTTTTTCAATGACCTGGAGTTTTCTGCAAATAGGTCCTTTATTTCTTTGGTTAAGTTTATTCCTAGGTATCTTAATTTTTTTGCCGCAATGATAAATGGGATTGTTTTCTGTTTCTCTTTCTGTGAGTTCATCATTGGTGTATAATAAAGACATCAATTTCTTGACATTAATTTTGTATCCTGCTACTTTGCCAAATTCATTTATTAAGTCTAGTAAATTTTTGATGGACTCTTTGGGGTTTTCTACATATAGTATCATGTCATCTGTCAATAATGACCGTTTCACTTCCTCCTTTCCAATTTGGGTCCCTTTTATTTTTTCTTTCTGTTTGATTGCTGTGACTAAGACTTACAGTACTGTGTTATATAAGAGTGGTGAACATGGGCATCCTTGTCTTGTTCCTGTTTTTAAGGGAAATGCTTTTTGTTTTTGTCCATTGAGCATGACGTTGGATGTAGGTCTTTCATATATGGCCTTTATTATGTCGAGATATGATCCCTCTATTCCCACATTGCTGAGCATTTTTATCAAAAATGGATGCTGGATATTGTCAAAGGCTTTTTTGGCATCTCTTGATATGATCATGTGGTTTTTATTCTTCATTTTATTTATGTGGTGTATCACATTTATTAATTTGCAAATGTTGTACCAGCCTTGCAATCCAGGGATGAATCCCACTTGATCGTGGTGAATAATTTTTTGGATGTATTTCTGGATTCGATTTGCTAGTATTTTGTTCAGGATTTTGGTGTCTATGTTCATCAGGCATATTTGCCTGTAGTTTTCTTTCTTTGTAATGTCTTTTTCCGGTTTTGGAATTAGAATTATGCTGGCCTCATAAAACGAGTTTGGAAATCTTCCTTCTTCCTGAATTTTTTGAAATAGTTTGAGGAGAATGGGTGTTAGTTCTTCTTTGAATGTTTGTTAAACTTCCCCGTGAAGCTGTCCAGGCCTGGGTTTGTGTTTGCAGGAAGAGTCTTGATTACATCTTCAATCCCTTTTGTTGTTATTGGTTTGTTCAAGTTTTCTATCTCTTCCTGGTCCAGTTTTGGGAGACTATGTCTTCCTAGAAATTTGGCCATTTCGCTTAGATTTTTGAATTTGTTGCCATATAATTGTTAGTAGTAGTTGTTAATGATCTTTTGTATTTCTGCGGTGTCGGTTGTTACTTCTCCTCTCTCATTTCTGATTTTGTGTGTTTGGGTTCTCTGTCTTTGTTTCTTAGTGAGTATAGCTAAGGGTCCATCAATCTTGTTTATCTTTTCCAAAAACCAGCTCTTTGTTTTATTGATCCTTTGAATTGTTTTTTGGTCTCTATGTCATTTATTTCTGCTCTGATCTTTACAATTTCCTTCCTTCTACTTGCTGTGGAGTTTTCTTTTTGTTTGCTTTCCAGTTCTTTAAGTTTGAGGTTAGATAGTCTATTAGAGATTTTTCTTGTTTCTTAAGGTAGGCCTGTAGTGCTATGAACTTCCCTCTCAGAACTGCTTTCACTGCATCCCATAGATTTTGTGTTGTTCTCTGTTCATTTTCATTGATTTCCAGGAAGTTTTTAATTTCTTCCTTGATCTCCTCGGTAACCCCTTTGTTGTTTAATAACATGCCATGTAGCCTCCATGTTTTCAAGTGTCTTTGTATGTTCTTGTTGCAATTGATTTCTAGTTTTGTGACATTGTGATCTGAGAAGATGCTTGATACATTTTCAAACTTCTTGAACTTGTAGAGACTTAGTTTGTGTCTTAACATGTGCTCTGTCTTTGAGAATGTCCCATGTGCACTTGAGAAGAATGTGTATTCTGTAGTTTTGGGGTGTAATTCTCTGTAGATATCTATTAAATCCATTTGGTCTAGTGCTTCATTTAGAATCTGTGTTTCCTTGTTAATTTTTTGTCTAGAGGATCTGTCCAGTGATGTCAGCCGGGTGTTGAACTACACTGCTATAATTGTATCACTATTAATTTCTCCTTTGAAGACTTCCAGAAGATTTTAAATATATTTTTGTGCTCCTATATTGGGTACATATATGTTTATCAAGGTTATATCTTCCTGTTGGATAGTTCCTTCCAATATTATGTACTGGCCTTTTTGTCTCTAGTTATGGCCTTCATTTTGAAATCTATTTGATCAGATATGAGTATTGCTACCCCAGCTTTTTTTCCTTTCCGTTTGCTTGAAAGATTTTTTCAATCCATTCACTTTCAACCTATGTGAGTCTTTTGTTTTGAGGTGTGTCTCTTATAAACTACATATAGATGAGTCATGCTTTCTTATCCAATCAGCTACTCTGTGTCATTTTATTGGAGCATTCAAACCATTTACTTTTGAGGTGATTATTTTTATGTACTTATTTATTCCATTTTTGTTTAGTTTGGTTATATTTTTCTTCCTATTTCTTCTGGTAACTACAGCAGTCCTTTTAACATTTCTTGCAGTGCTGGTTTGGTGCTAATGTATTCCCTTAGCCTTTTTTTGTCTGGGAAGCTCTTTATTTGACCTTCAATTTTCAATGATAGCCTTTCTTGGTAGAGTAGTCTTGGATTCAGATCCTTCTTTTTCATGAACTTGATTTCCTCATTCCATTCCCTTCTGGCCTGTAGTGTTTCTGTTTAGAAGTCAGCTGAGAGCCTTATGGGGGTTCCTTTGTAGGTAACCTGTTGCTTATCTCTTGCTACTTTTAGGATTCTCTCTTTGTCTTTAATTTTTGGCATTTTGATTACTATGTGTCTTGGTGTGGGCCTGTTTGGGTTCTTCCTACTTGTGGTTCTCTGCTTCTTGAATTGAATATCTTTTTTCTTTAACAAATTAGAGAAGTTTTCTGTCAGTATTTCTTCAAATATATTTTCTAAGCCTTGATCCTTTTCTTCTTCTTTGGGGACTCCTATGATGTGAATATTATTACATTTCCAGTTGTCCCACAGTTATCTTAAGCTGTCTTCCTGTTTTTTAATTATTTTTTCCTTGTGATGTTTTGATTGGTTGATATTTTTTATGCTTTTTTTCTTTATTGATTTTTTTTTCCTTTAGAGAGAGATGAAGGGAGAGGGAGAGATAGAAACATAGAGGAGAGAGAACATCGACTGGCCGCCTCCGGCATGCCCCCTGTGGGGTTTGGGCCCACAACCTGCACATGTGCCCTGACCGGGAATCGAACCGGCGACCTCTTGATGTAGGGTCAACGCTCAGCTCCTGAGCCACTTGGCCGTGCTGTTTATGCATTCTTTGTTTGATTCTTGTGTGCGCCCCAATATGCGGCCAGGGCTTTCATGCCTTTTTTTTTAAAAAAAAAAATCTTTATTGTTGGATGTAAAATGTATTACAGATGTTCCACATTTTTCCGCCATTGACCCCCTCCTCCCCATTTCTGCCCCCTCCCACCTTTTCCCACACTATTGTCTGTATCCATTGGTTATGCATATAAGTTCTTTGATTTATTTCTTCCCACCCCCCCAACCCCTTTCCCTTTGAGGTTTGTCAGTCTAGCAATGAATTTGTACTTCTTAATCTCTTCACCTTTTTCACCCATTCCCCCAACTCCCCTCCCAACTGGCAACCAACAAAATGTTCTCTGTATCTATGAGAATGTTTCTGATCTACCTGTTCATTTTGTTTGCAGATTCCATTGTTGATAGATATGTATTCATTGCCATTTTGTTTGTTCATATATTTTATCTTTTTCTTCTAAAAGACCCTTCATCGTTTCATATAATAACGGTTTAGTGGTGATGAACTCCTTTAACTTTTTCTTGTCTGGGAAAATTTTTATATGTCCATCGATTCCAAATGACAGCTTTGCAGAATAGAGTAATCTTGGTGGTAGGTTCTTGCTTTTCATCACTCTGAATATTTCTTGCCACTCCCTTCTGGCCTGCAAAGTTTCTTTTGAGAAATCAGCTGACAGCCTAATGGGAACTCCCTTGTAGGTAACCAGCTGCCTTTCTCTTGCTGCTTTTAAGATTCTCTCTTTGTCTTGAACCTTTTGCATTTTGATGATGATGTGTCTTGGTGTGGGCCTCTTGGGGTTCATCTTGTTTGGGACTCTCTGTGCTTCCTGGACTTGTATGTCTGTTTCCTTCACCAAGTGAAGGAAGTTTTCTGCCATTATTGTTTCAAACAGGTGTTCGATTTCTTGTTCTCGCTTTTCTCCTTCTGGCACCCCCAAGATGCGAATGTTGGCACGCTTAAAATTGTCCCAGAGGCTACTTACACTATCGTCACTTTTGTGGCTTCTTTTTTTCTTTTTGCTATTCTGATTGGCATTTTTTGCTTCCTTATATTCCAAATCGATGGTTAGCTCCTTGGATTTACATACTCTATTATTGAAGCTGTGTAAATGATTCTTTATTTCAGTTAATGCCTCCTTCAATTCTAACTGTGTATCCATGATTTCTGACTGGTCCTTTTCTATGCTCTTGAGGCCCTCCCTAAGTTCACTGAGGTTATCACTGAGTTCATTAGCATCCTTATAAGCAGTATTTTGAACTCAGTATCTGTTAGGTTGCTTATCTCCATTTCGCTTAGTTCTTTTATTGGGGTTTTGCTCTGTTCTTTCATTTGGGACCTGTTTCTTTGTCTTCTCATTTTGGCTGCCTCCCTATGTTTGTTTCAGTGTATTACTTAATGAGAGGTATGGGGCTCACTGAGACCAGATGCTGCTCATTTGAAAGAATTTAGGAAAGACCTGAAGCAGGATCCAAGACAGGCCAATCCTATGGTTAAGCAAGTGGCAACAGATTGAGTGGGCTTGAACGTTGGGTGGGGCGGGGCCTCAGGGAGTCACCAGGGCGGGGCTACCAGTGTGAGTCAGGTTGCTAGAGTCCCAGATATGGTGACTGTCTGCCGCCCCCGGGAAGGGCTTACCAAAGGAACAAAGGCCTCTGACAGTGTGTTTGTCCCGGAGAAAGCCCCTTCTCCAGCCCTTGCTCCAGTGCCAAACAGCTCAGTTTTTCCCTGTATGACTCTGGCGCCCCTCGAGCTGCCTCCCCTCCAATCTTAGAGGGAAGAAGTCTGATATGTTACTGCCTGGGCCCTTTAGGGAGCTGCCTGGGGTTCCAGCCGCTTCAGCTTCCCTGAGCCTCAGTTCCTGCTGGTTTTTCCAACCGGAAGTTATGGGGACTTCTCTTTCTGGCACTGGAACCCTGAGCGGGGCACCTGGTGTGGGATGGGCTTCCCTCAGTCCTCAGGAAGGACCTTCCCAGCCGAGGTATCCTCCTGATTTTTATCCACCACAAATGGGTGTGAGACCAGCCTGTCGCGCTGCCGCTGCCCCTCCTACCAGTCTTGAAGTGGCTGCTGCTTTAATTCCGTAGTTGTAGGACTTCCATTCAGCTTGATTTCAGGCAGTTTTGAATGATGGGTGTTCTGTAGTTTAGTTGTAACTTTGATGTGGTTGCAGGAGGACGCGATACCACGTTTACCTATGCCGCCATCTTTACCAGAAGTCGGTTGATTTTTTTTCTACCCTGTGTTCTAATTCACTGATCCTGTCCTCTGCTTCCTCTACTCTGCTCTTTAGACCTTCCAATGTGTTCTTTATTTCTTCTCTGTCATTCTTCATTTCTTCTTGGTGGTTTTTAGTTTCCAACTGATTGATTTTCAACATTTCTGTGTCTTTACTCATGGTGCTCAAGTCCTTGCATATGCTGTTGAGCTTCCTCCAGATCATGGCTCTGAATTCTAGTTCTGTTAACTTGCTTAACTGCAGCTCATTTATCTCTTCTTTGGTAGAGTTCTTTTGTTCTTTCATTTTGCTTCGGTTTCTGTGTTTCACCATTTTGGCTATCACAGTGGGCTTTGGAGCCTGCCAGATATTCTCTGTGGGAGTTGGAGTTCTGCTGTTTGTGGCTTTCTCTCCTATGTTTGAATGAGCCAGGGAGGACCCACATTAAACACCACTGTCAAGTCTTACTTTCATGGTTAGAGTTGCAAGCCTAGGAATGATACAATTATTCTCTTGCTTTTTGCCTGGACGCTATCAGTAGTGGTTACTTGAAGAGCCTTGGCTTCTCAGTTGAATGAAAAACTCTCTCAGGTGTTTAGTATAAGGAGATTTCCCGAGGGTGGGGTAGATTCTTGCTGTTAATGGGCCTCAGTTAGCATTTCAATGGCCACCATGTGGGTTGACTCCCTGAGGGAGGGGACACAGCCTCTCCCCTGATCCCTGGGAAGGGGTAAGATGACCACTCTCCTGTATGGCTGCAACTCAGCAAAAGCTCTAAGCGCCCTCCAAATCCCGAGTGTCCCCATACAGTTCCAGTCCAGTCCGCCCTCCCTCTGCCAGAGCCCAAGTTGAGTGGCTGTGGCTATTTTAGCATCTGTTCCAGCTCTGCTCTGTGGTGCTGCTTGGGAGTTTAACCCGAGGGCGCTGCTCATAGCCAAGGCCGCTGCTGTCTGTGGGCTCCCAGCCCCCCTCCGCACCTCCGCAAACCTACCAGGATTGAGTCAATGTACCTGGTTATGTGATCCTCCAAGTTGCTTTTCTGTTGCTTTTTCCTGATGATTTGTCTTTATTTTAGTTGTAATTCCAGTTTCGTTCTGGGAGATGGTCTGTGTAGCTTCCACTCACTCTGCCGCCATTTTGGAATCAACATTTCTTCTTTTCACTTTTCAGTTTTTCTCAATGTTTTTCCTGTCTCAGCACACGTGAGGGGCATGCAAACTTCCCTCAATCCAGTGGCTGAATGGGACATTTATTCTCAGGAATGCACAGTGGGATAGAACATGGGAAGAGAGAAAGAGAGAAAAGCAAGCACAGTTTAAAAGGCTTACAAGTGTTTCTGTTCATATGAAGGTCAGGGCAGTGCATGCCTTCAAAGTTTTTTCTCTATTCTTTCTTCCTTGTTTTGAAATCTTCTTGTTGGATTTTCTATACATTTGTTCCAGTGTCTTCCACCATAATTTTGTTCAAAGAAACTCAATTTGCAACTAAATAACGGACCAGGAGGAAGGGTGTACTCTAGTAGGATATTATTATCACATTTCAGATTCTGCCCTGACATTATCCCCATTGTTTGTCACAGGTTTTTATTGAAATTGCATATATTTTGTTCAGGAGGGGAATGGGACAAACTCTTTGTCCAAAATTAGCCGAAACTGTTTCTCGAGTTGTTCTGGAGGTAATGTTTGAAATGAGGGTTTGGATTTCTGTGGATTTTAGTTATGAATGTTCTCTCTGCCCTGTCTCCAGATAATCAAGTATTTGTTAATATAGCATAAGGCTCCTCATAGAAAATGAGTATTCAGTTTCTTCTATTGTATAGTAATGGACTAATAGTTTTTTATACATCTTTGATTTTATCTGATTTCTTGTAAAAGAAAAATAAAGGGCATGAGTATTAATGGCAAGGAAAACAAGATTTCATTACATGGTGGCCCGGATTAATTTCTAATATCACACTGCTTTATTTTTTTTTAGACAGGTATATAGTTTGATTTTTTTTTTCACAAAACATTGGCTACTTTGCCTTCCTTTTGACATCAGTTTTGTTTGCCTTTATATATTTATAGTATAATATCTTATATTCAGCCTTTGGGTTTCTCAAGTTGAAAAATGTGTGCTCATTATAACTGCTTTGGGTAGCTTGATTAGGTGATGAATATCTTCTTCCATTTTGCTGTTCTCCCAAGATTACTCTGGAACCATGATAATTGAAGGAGAAGAAGCTGCAGTTGCCTACACATTGGATGATACCAAACCTGATGGCAAATATCCTGCCATAATGGGGTAATGCACAGTTATGGTGATGTGAATGCTATTTGATGCTGACAGTGACACATAGTGTTAATAATGTGCCCTAAACTTTTATAATTTTTTACCCAATGGCACTGTTCTTCCAATCCAGCAGTAGAAAAGTTATTTTTTAGAAACAATGTCTTCCAATGAATACATATTTGGAAATAAATTAGAACACCAATAATATTTTTAAATTTGCTATATTAATTTTCTACTTCATATTTAGTGCTGGGGGTGATATATTTTGGTCAGCTATCTTTTGTGAAAGCATAATATGAAGACTTAGGGTGTTTTGCTAAGGGAGCTTCTTGTGGAGCCTTATATGAGCATCAATGGTATTTATGTGGGATGCTGAGATTTTACAAGTCCCACTAGAGAGGAGTCATGAGCAGCCCAGCCCTAAGCTTGGCAGGAAAGGCCAGCTCAGATGGGGCATATCTTGGGGGACAGAACCTGGCCCAGAGAGGTGTCACTTGGAGCAGTCAAAATTAATAAGGGCCCTAGAGTATATATGCATTTATTTCAGAGATAGCCAAGTGTCAGAGGAGGTTGACCAAAGCCAGTTATTTGTGAGCTTGAAAGAAATCATAGGGCCACAAACAAAGGCATATTCTAGAATGCCAAGCACTAAGGAGACACCATTGTGTAGATAGAACCAAAGGTCAAGGGTTGGATGAAATTAGAAAGGCTTAGACATGCCTTAGTTGGACATTTGAGACCCAAGTTTCATTCCTGTTAGCATCAGCCATGTAAGGGAAAGTGGGTCAGTCATAGTACTACCCTAGGCAGAAATTATGGCCAGTCATCTATCTTTAGTCTCTTGAATCCCTAAAGCTAAAAGGTGCAGTGACATTTTAGTGTCAGCAATGTAACATGTAAATAGTAAACTATTGAACATAAAATAACTACCATGTAATTTGTTTCTTTGGGTTTACTTTTAACTTGTACACTAGGCACATTTGCAGCTACAGAAATGAGGACAAGACAAAAGCAGCAATTATTTCCCCACCTTTTTTCTTGTTTGTATGTTTTAGATTTATCCTTGCCCACAAAGCTAGAAAACTGGCACGTCTCACCAAAGAAGAAAGGTAAGAAAAACACTGCCTCTTCTTTCTTCCTTCTCTTTCACCTTTCCTTCCTTCCTTCCTTCCTTCCTTCCTTCCTTCCTTCCTTCCTTCCTTCCTTCCTTCCTTCCTTCCTTCCTTCCTCCCTCCCTCCCTCCCTCCCTCCCTCCCTCCCTCCCTCCCTCCCTCCCTCCCTTCCTTCCTTCCTTCATTTACCTCTCTCTTCTATCCTTCCCCTTCCCTCCTGTTCCCCCCCCTCCTGTCTTTTCCTACCTTTTTTCTCTTTTTGGTCTACTTCACTGCCTTTCAATTTTACCTAACTTTTCAACTTAAATACTACCTAAAATATGTGTGTTTCCAATGCTATATGTCTGTCATGTTCATTATAAGGGTCTTGTATAAAGGCACAGTGCTTATAAATTAAGAATCAAATATTCAACTTAATATTTATTGAGTTTATTGTACACAAAATACCATACAAGAAACTATGGAGAATACATAATACACATACCACCTGAGAATACAAAAATTGATATAGCCTAGGAGCTGAAAATTTACTTGGTGAAGAGTGCATTTCTAACAAGTTCCTGACTGATGTTGCTGCTGGGACTACATGGTTTTACATCATTAATGAAAAGATCGTGTGAGTGTTTTGATAAAACTGAAGTTCTGAGAGTTTAAGTAACCTGCTCAAGACCTTATAGTACATAAAAGGCAGAAACAGAATTTAAAGGTTTTCTTGTTCCTTCTCTTTCCACTCTGCCCATTTCTTTGCAGGGGAGTGGGAATGGGGTAAGTAACGATCATGTCTGGATCCTCTCAGAATCTCCAGTGCTTAGCAGACTGCTTGTTTTTTAGAATGAATGAACAAATCACCATGTGCCCCCAGTGATTCAGGCAATGCCTCACTTTATTTTCTTTAACACTATTTGTGACCTCATTGATTTAAGACATTTGAAATAGAACAAAGTGCCTTGTTTTGAAAAATTAAAATGAAATACCAAGAGGAAGCAATGGCTCACAGACTCTTTTTGAATGAGGGGATAGGTGCCTCTTTCACATTTTCTTCCACTTCTTTCATTTTTACTTTTATCCCCACCCCCTCCTTCCATAGGTTGAATAAATTGTGTGAGCTCTATGCAAAAGTTCTGGGATCCCAAGAAGCTTTGAAGGTAAGGCTGTTTCCCAAACCTTGACTAAGGGAGAGAGATCTTGCTTTGTCCTCAAGGGATTAGCAGGGATAGGCTCATTAGTAGGGCCCTAGAGCTCATGTTTTCCCTGGTACATTCTCAGAGGGATCTGCACAGGGTTGATCAACTTAAAAGTTGTCACAAAGAGTTCAGGCCCTGGCTGTGCTGGTGGCAGCTCAGGAACGCTGCAACACTGCTGTTTCAGGTGGTGTTATGCTTGTCCTTGAGTTCAGAACTCTTCTAGGAGCAGAGCATTGAGCTACTCTGCTCCCAGCTCTGTAAAAGAGAGGAGCTTCTGCTACCCTTAGTGAGATTCTACATCCTATTAGCCAGGATGGGGATGAAAAGAGCTTTCTCTATTTCTGCTGATCATATAAAGAGATCAAAGTCTTATTTATATACATAAATGAGCATATAAGCATTTCTAACACCCACACCACCCCCATTGTCTTATCAGTAAAAATAGGGTGGCCTGTCCCTTTTCTACACATCCCCTTTTTCCTTGTTTTACCCTTCAACATTAGGGGTGCAGGGAAAGACATGCTTATTTACTCAAAGTGAGCCCACTCAGATGGGTTTCCTAGAAACCTTTGGAAGTAGCCTCAGGAAACTCATCTTAAAATTAATTAGTACTCTGCAGGGGCTCAAAGGAGGAATGCAGTGGGGTTAGGAGGCATTGTGGAAGGGCTTTGGTGACAATCAGAGGGTCCAATGTACTCATAACCAGTAGCCAAAACCGCCTCCCTCATCGATATTTAAAGCAGTGGGTCAGTGTTATCATTACATTTACCAGACTACTGTTTTTTTTTAATGTTTTGATATGGATTAAATCAATTGTTGAATGTGATTATTAAATCCAGTTATCCATAAAGCATTTGAAGGCAATGGAAACTGATGTACAAATGAACAGTTAACGTGTGAGCAAAATCTAATGAGGGGGCTAAGAATGTTTAACTTGTTAAGCCTCTTAAATACAAATTTCCTCAGTGCACACCATGACCTAGTAGAGCAGCTACATGGTTTAATCTTATTATTCTAACACTTATCTTATTCACTTTTGCAGTGACTTGCTTCCTTCTAGTATAGTTGTTATGGCTTTTGAGTTTGACATTTTTGTTCATTCTTGCAAAGCATTTTTTCCCCCTGTACTTGATGTAGGTGAAACATGTGCTCTTAAGGATTTTTGAAGTTCTTTTTCAATAAATGATCAAGAGTAATTAATTGTTTGGTTCAGATAAAGACATAATAATGATGAATGTATTTTGTTTCATTTTCTGCTTTCATATACCATTTAACAAGTTTAAATATAAGCCTCAACTCTAGATTCAAAGGCATTATATTATAATATTATATGTATATTATACACTATATATTATATTAAAAACTCTTTTACATCTGTTAAAAATTACTGGTGTTTCTGTTTAAAAATGTTGTTCAAGAGCTTTCACCCTGGTAGATACTCCAGCTTTTTTCAAATTACATTCTGAGACACTCTTAGACTGACACAGTTTGTAATTTAAATTATTCCAACAACTTGTTTGGTAGATGTTTGATGAACCTCAGTTGGCGAGGAAGGCAATTGTTCTCAACTTGCTAAAAATGTCGATCTTTTTAATCTGGAAAAGTCTCTTTATCTATGAAGAATGTGAATGATTAGTTGCTGCTGATAAAAATGAGCTAGTCCTGTTTTTGTTTTCTCTTGGCATAGAGAGAGGCACTTACTTTACTCTTTCTTTGTTGTCTATTGTGCAGAAGGAAAAAAGTTCTGGGGGCAAGGGAAGGTGAAAGATGAAGTCCACCCTTCCTTCTAATTGGTAGGAAACAGTCAGAGAAGGGTGTTGCTGTGGTGCTTGTCACCCTCAGATGCCAAGAGGGAAGATGGCTGGCCATCAGACATGGGAATAACACTAGAGACATGAAGCAACTAATACTACTCAGTCAGGTCCTAGTGCTTTGCAAATAGGATGCATTACAAATGACTACCCAAGGTTCTATATGTGACTGCAATTTTTTTATTTCTGAAATTTTTCAGTTTTTTAAATTAGAAAACTTTTTTCTTTTTTTTTTTTATCCTCACCCGAGGACATTTTTGCATTTATCTTCAGATAGAGCGGGAGGAAGAGAGGGAGGAAGAGAGAGAGAGAGAGACATCAATGTGAGAGAGACACATCGATTTGTTGCCACCCACATGAGCCCAACCGGGGCCGGGGACAAACTGCAACTGAGGTACGTGCTCTTCGCGGGAACCGGACCTGGGTTTCTCTGGTCCTCAGGCCAATGCTCTAACCACTAAGTCAAACCAGCCAGGGCTAGAAAACTTTTTTCAGTTACAGTCCACATTCAACATTGCTTTGTATTCATCTCAGGTGCACAGCACAGTAGCCACACAACCCTATACTTCACAAAGTGCTCCACCTGACACCCAACTGGTACCATACACAGTTATTACAACATTATTGACCAAATTGGAAATGTTTTAAACAAAAGAGTTTATCAAAATTTATTTTTAAAGTAACATTTTTCTCTTAAAACTTGCCATGTTTATTTTCTCTTTTCAAAATCATGCTTAATTATAATATGTATGTTTAGTTACCTTAATAAAGAACTTGAGCTTTGCAAAATGTCATCTAATGTTTTGCCTGTCCATGGCAAAAACATACTTTTTAGAACAATATTTGTTTACAAGTACCACCAACAGAATTGCCTACATCCCATGAAAACATTAATTTATCTGTTTAGCTTCCTTCAACAAAGTTCAATTCTACCAAAATCGTGAATTCAATCATCCTTTTTCCTTGACAGACATGTTTTTCTGTTTTTTTACTTCTTCAACCACTTCAGAAGCAAAAGTTATTTTTTAAATTTATCTTGAAACCATTAGGCACTAAAACTTAATGATAGTTATGACCAATTTAAAAATGGAATTAAACAGTTGTAGATTATGAACAGTACCTGAGACATCAATGAACCAACTGAGAAAATTTTATGAAATAGAAATCTCTTATTTTATTATGAAGAATATTTACCAAAGACATATCTGTAAAAACAGCAAGATAATAAGGCTCTACTTCAGACATATAGTGGGTCTTCAATATAAAACCTATTGGATTGCATTTGATTTATTCTGGAATAATTTCCTTTGAGTTTTCTTTGAGCTTCTGTCACTCTGCCTTGCAGCCGGTACACTATGAAGAGAAGAACTGGTGTGAGGAGCAGTACTCAGGAGGCTGCTACACGACCTACTTCCCCCCGGGGATTATGACTCAATTTGGAAGGTAGAGCAAAAGTGTGATAATTTTAATCCAAATTCTAAACAGGTTTATGTAGCTCTGCTGTTTCTTAAGAATGTTTTTAAAAATCCCCAATTTTGTTTATATCTTGTGAATCTCATAAAGAATGTGTAATTCTGCATCATGGGGGTGCCTTTTACTTTAAATTTTTTGAAGAAGCAATTCTAATCAATATAACCAAAGAAATTGCAGCATAAGAATATATAGTCAGAGGGTTCACTTATATTGTAAGAAGTCTCTTTATACTGAGGTTAGAGCTCAGTAAAACTTCCTTAAATGGAATATGAGTACAATATTATAAAAGCAAAATGAGTTCATGACTGAAAGTAAAGGGGCTTGGGTTCCATTCCTGATTCTACCAATAACCAACTTTGTCATCCTGGATAGGTCACTTCACCTTTTTGAACCTCATTTTTTTTAGCAAGTGTATGAGAAAACACAAATGGCATATAATAGATGATAATTAGTATGCTAATAATGTCTGTTATTTTTTTAACAACTTTATTGAGATATAATTTATATATCACATAATTTACCCACTCAGAATGCATAATTCATTGATTTTTAGCATTCGCAGTACTCTGTATCCAAGTATGACTCATTGGTGTTTAGTTCATTGTATTTGATGATAACAAGTTGTGAATTAATGATGTAGCAGTAATTATTATTACTATAAGATTAATATTAAACCAAGGAACAATTTAATGCTGAGCTCAATTTAAACAAAATAGGAAATTCATAGTAGTGAGTAAAAAGCTATTGCTAGTATATAATTAAAAGAGGGTGTGGGTAAATGTAAATGACTAATCAATCTGTCCATGAAAACCAGGCAAAGAAATATTAAAACCTATACCTGTGAGAAGATAACATAATTAATTTGGTTAGCACTTTCCTCATCTTCTTGAAGATAGCAATTATCATGTATGAGAACATTCTGGGGCCCAAGTGAAACACCTGATTATACTGGGTCAATAATTTAATTTTTGAATATGATGAGTATATAATATGTTAATAGCAATGGTTTCATTTAGCATTTATTGACTAAGTGCTAATCATTTGCCAAGCCTTGTGCTGAAAACTTTGATACCAAAAATCGTCCTCCCTGCTATGAAGGAGCTGACAGTGTTGGGGCCTGAGGTGGGAATGGGGAGAGAAGAGAACATCAAACATTGTTCTAATGCTACAGTAATGACTCTAATTACCATGGTAAGTATTCTACTAGAGGATCATACAAATACCATGGGTACCCAGGGAGGGATAGGCTAGCCTTACCTAGAGAAATAAAAAAAAAATGTTTCATAATACCCATATTATCTGAGGATTGTAGAAAGCAGAGAAAGGCTATTGGGAAATACACTCTAGGCAGATAGAACTGTATGAGCAATTGCTTGAAATCCTACAAGTTCATGGAATGTCTGGGGGGAAATTCTGCATGGCTGGGTTGTGGGTGATACTGAGGATGAACTGGAGAATCAGAAATGTAGATAGGATTTTTCGCCTCATATAACACGGTCAGGAATGCAAAACTTAACTTTTAACAGAGAAAAGCCAATCAGAGCATTGCTTTTGTTTTGGGTTTGTGATGTGATTAGATTTCTAACCAGTGGCAAGTTTTATGCTCATTCCCATAAAATGTGTCAGGAAAATGCCTTTTGGCAATGGATGGGGGGGAGGTCACACTTTCTTCCACTGGTCTGACCTTGACCACATGAGGGAAGCAAGATAAACCCCATCTTATCAGGCATTGGTGGTGATAGTTACACCCATTTTCATCTTTATTCCTTCCCAGGAACATGTGTCAGGCTTCATATCATTAGCTTTAACTTGTAGGATAGAAACAAGGCACAGTGTATCTTAGTGTCATAACTTCCAGCCTGAGCAAAGACTACCTGCCTACAAAGCTTCATTTGATCCTTCAGGTTCATGACTTTTGGGATGCTTCCAGAAGCTCTATCTTCATGGCCTTGGAAATACACAGAAATGTTCTGCTTTCAGATGAAAGACAGAGTACCACAGAATTTTACTTCTCTGTAGACTAAAAAGCTGATTGTAATAATTAAGCAGAAAAACAAATAGGGGAATATTTTACTCTATCAAGCCATGAGAAATATACATGGAAATATTCTTTTGGTGAATGTGTTCTGTCTGTTCAGTCACCTGCAAAAGAAGATGCAGGGATTTTCTCAAGGGGCTGGATCTTTTTAACCCCAAAGGGAAGAATATTTTCATACCACAACTGTAGGAAAAATATCTTTCTTTGTTTGAAATTAATTTTTGGATTTTACATGTTTGCATTCCAATTGTTGTCATAATTAATTTTCTAAGCCTTTATTCTCTCTTCTGATATTTAATTCTATGATGAGGCCTGGCTTCCCAGAGGTTTCCAATTTGAGGTTAGTTCTGTATGTTTGAAAACAGTGAACATGTGGTGAAAACAGCATTTTTGAATGAACATGAAGGAAGCAAATTTACTTTCTCTTGCAGGGAATGCTTTCTGAATACTTTTAGGTATTTCAGCCTATGCTGGCTATGAATCACTCCTGATTATTATTCCATGTATTATCATCACTATTCTAATATTCTATAATATCTTTTATTTTCTACTGTCTTTTTTCTTTATGGCTACAATAAGGGCTGGGGAAGAAAAACACACCAATTCAAACCAGCCTGTTTGGTTTTCTGATAAAAGACCTGGCAGTATGCAGTATGTTACAATGTACACAATGTATGATATGTGTATTAGCTCTGGATATCCACATCCCTTACTTCATGTAATGGAAATCCCTGATAGGATGAATCATGACATGTTGATGGTATTTTCCTTATGGCATTTTTGTCAGAGTAACAAAAAAGTGTCCCTCTTAGAAGACAAGTGCTGTGACACTTCCATCCCTTTTTATAGCACATGGGTACTCTGTTAACCAATGATGATGGCACACTAGGTGAAACATAGTGGATAAAAACAGAGACCTTGACATCTGTTAAGACTAGTTCAAATCCTAGCTCTGCTATTTGCTAACAGCATGGCTCTTGGCAAATCACTATGCTTTTCTCCAATATTCAGTTTATTCATGTGCAAAATGGGATAATGATATTACCTATGTCATAGAGTTGATTGAAATGATTAAATAAATAATTCAGTAGAGGGAGGGAGTATAACCAAGTGGTTAAGATTGTGTGCTCTAGAGTCAGATACCACCTCTGACACTTACTATCCGCGACTTAGAGCAAATTACTGTGTCTTTGTTGCTGGTTAGGTTACTTAGGAAGCAGACTCTGAAACAAAGATTAACATACAGGATATGTGCTAACATACAGGATATGATACCAGCCTTTGGTATCAACACCTGTGAGAGAGGAAGGAAATAGAAGTGGGCAGAAGGACAAGTTGGACTGTGGTACAGTTCCAACTAAGGCCTCAGCTGTTCCCACAGGGAACTCTTGAGCTAGGGGTGACCCTTAAGAGTTGTTACAAAAGTCCTTATAGCCCCATGATGATCAGTCATTGGATGCAACTGCTGCTGGAAGGAGGCATGACCTTGAGCAAAGCAATTTTCTTCAGCCTAGGCAATCTCCAAAGAGGACTGCTATCAGAAGGTCATCTTCTGGAAGTACTTCCAGCAGCTAAAACTAAGACTTTCATTCTTGAAAGGGGGTCTGGGCAGTGCATCACAATGTCCACCATAGTCTCTGTACCTCTATATTCTCCTCTGAAAAATGAAGATATTTATAGTATCAACTTCATAGGGTTGGGTGAGGATTAATGCACTTAGAAGGGTACTGGGCATGCAACAAGTGTTAACGTTTATAATTTAAAGCAATAAAACTCAACAATGGTAGAGGTAAGTGCTCATGAATGATAGTTTTGGACTCACAGATTTGGTACATGTTACTGATGGGAAAAGTCTTGGAAATCATTGGAGTGTGTCCTTGAAGAGATGGGGAAGCCAGAGTTCAGTGAGACAAAGTGATTTCCCATGTTCAGTGGTGAAATAGCCAGGTAGGGAACTGGGGCATGTGTCAGCTTATAAAGAGTTAATGAGCCATAGAAACAACTACTACTACACATGACTTCATGTAGGTAAAGCAAATACGTGCTCCATTAATGCCAGTTCCCTTACTTGTAAGCTCTTGGTGCAGGAGTGGACTTCGTCTATGACAAGAATCATGCAAGAGCTGGAGGAACCTGTGAACATTTTGCCAAAATTTACAATGTAATTCCGATGTTTAGAATCTGAGGGAACCAACCAGCCGTAGTCATTGTGGGAAGGATCCCTGGTTCTCTGATACTAACCACTTTTACCTCTTTGTTGTTGTTTCAAGAGTTCTACGCCAGCCGGTGGGCAGGATTTATTTTGCAGGCACGGAGACTGGTACACACTGGAGTGGCTACATGGAAGGGGCTGTGGAGGCTGGAGAGAGAGCTGCCAGAGAGGTAGGACCTGGGGTTATAGGCTATGGGGAAGGAGGGAATTCATAGGCCTGACAAGCAGGTCAAATATATCTGAGACCCTGGAGGCCAACTTGCCAGTAACTTATATCTGAAGACACATGAAACAAAATTTGAACAGTAGTCTCAGTTGAAGTGAGCACTTTAACCAAAAAGTAACAATGAAAATATCTAGCATGTCATACAAAATAAAAAGAGTCCACGGGGCAAAAGATCACTATGGCCCTCCTTGAGAAATAACCTAGTTCTAATATTATAGAACCAAACATGTTTCTATTAGGGTTCAGAATTCCTGTGATCTCATCCCTATTAAGTCATGTTCATAAATACAAATCATGGTGAGCCTAATAATTGGAACCTCTTATGCCATTAATTAAAGACTTTTTGGATCCTTTCAAAGTTTTGGAGGACTATGTTGGCTGTTACCCTGATGCTTTTGATGGATCTCTCGAGACTCACTTCTTTATTTAAAGAGAAGATTAGGAGAAAGATGGTGTTACTTTTGTCATTCATCAAGGCATTCTTTCTGTTCAGATCCTGCATGCCATGGGAAAGATTCCAGAGGATGAAATCTGGCAGTCTGAACCAGAGTCTAGGGTAGGTTATATTTTATTTCAGGAATTGAAATGTCTGTCCTCTAAAAACAATGATTTTCAAAAATAATACACCTGTATATATTCATATACCTTTCTCTAAGTGTTTCAATCCATGAAAGTTTACAGGCATGGGCTAGGGCAAAGGTGAGAAATTTAGAATTTTGATAAGTTTTTAGCTGACACATTCGTTACAGATTACTAGGAAAAAATGTTTATTTGTTTTTTTGTTTGAGAGTTCTAGACATATTAATAACTGAGCATATTCCTGTTGAATAAATCTCTAACCTGGTGATTCTCAGCACCAGTTAGGAAATGAAAGGAAGACATGGCAGCATCTCCTGTCCAGGGGCAAAGGGATGGAATGAAATGGAGCAGATTTAGATTAAAAATGCTTTTTCATATATGCACTGTTGTTTTGTTTTCATAATAAAACCCCAAGAAATCTTCCTGATTGGAAGGAAGGACACATACAGGATAGAGTGAAATGCATTGTAGAGGGCAATAGCCAAAAAAGTGAAAGTTATTCCTCTATTAAGTATGAAATAAAAAGGACAGCCCTGTCAGTTTAAGTTATTCTCTTAGCACCTGTCACAGATGGGATTGAGGGCTCAGTGGACCATAAATTTATTCAATTCAATAAATATTTATTGTGTAACTACTCTGTACCAGCTTTTGTTATACGGCTACAGAAATGTTTTCATGGAGCTCAACATGTGCTTGAGAGAACAGATGATAACCAGAAGGCACAAGTGTGATGAATAAGACATGCTGAGCATGTTAAAAGAGGGATCATCTTAGCTTGGGAGCACAGGAAGGGCTATGTAAGGAAGTAAGTATAAACTGAAACTTGAAGGATGAGTCAGAATTAGTTAAGGAAAGGGAATGGTGTTGAGTATTATGACCAGAGTGAATGTTATATTTAATGGTCTAGAGGTTGGCAAGAGTGGGTCATATTCAGAGAATTGGAGGGAATACTGACTTTCTGGAGCAAAGCGTACAAGCCCGGTACTGACACCAAATGTTCTCTGAACCCAGGATGTTCCTGCGCAGCCCATTACTGAAACCTTCTTGGAGAGACATTTGCCTTCTGTGCCAGGCTTGCTGAAGCTGATTGGATTGACTACCATCTTGTCAGCAACTGCTCTTGGCTTCCTGGCCCACAAAAGGGGGCTACTTGTGTGGCTCTAAAGAGAAGGCATCTGTAACCACATCTTCTTATTTTACTTGGTGTGTGGGTTTGGGGAAGGGGATGTGGTAAAGCTTCATGAAGATATACAGATTATAGCTTGAGGTGGGGAGCATGAAGATAAGTCAGACTACTGAACACAGGAAACAGTATCTCTTTCTTTATTTGGTCCCTTGCTTATTGTCCCCTGCTTGGCGTAGCACTCTGTCTTGCCCATTTAAAAATTTATTGTCCCCAGAAACTTCATAGTAGTTAAGCACTTTTGTTTAAAGTCCTTGCTATCCCACAGCACACCTTGCCCATACTCAAAAACTAGTTTTCCTCCACCTCTGTGGCTTTGTGCTTCTCCTTCCTCTTACCTGCAACATCTCCATCTTTCAAGTTCTCAGCATTTGTCCTTAGAATCCTGTATTGTTATAGCTGGTAGATCTTAGAGACCATCTAGGCCTCACCCTCTATTTTAGAGTTGAGCCAACCAAAGCTCAGAGAGGTGGAACATAACTGTGCAAGGTCTGACATAAGACTGATATCTTGGAGACTATAACACAGGTCCATTGCTTTTCCTATCTCCTGGGATATATGCCCTAATAATCCTTTTCTACTCCCTGCTATGATTCCTGATGGAGTCCCCTTGTATGGGTTTACTCTGTACTAAATTGTTATGCACTACTACTACTATACTACTCCTACTGTTGTTACACAATAAAGTTGATTCACCATATGTCTGTTCTTTTTTTTCTTTTTGGGTAGGGACTTTCAAAGTTTTGACAGATTAAATCACAATACAATATTAAGCATATAATTTGTGGCTTTAAAGTAATTAATCAAAATTTTATTGGAGCCCAGATGATGCAAGCATTTTGATTGTGTAATCCATTGTGGGTGGTGTGTGTGAGCATTTGGTAAATGATTTATAATGATATGATACAGATGCTAAAAGACAGCGCTCCTTGCTTTCACCCTCCCCCCCAAAAAAAACTGTCAAAATAATTGACATATTAATAAGCAAGATGCTTTAACTATTAAGATAATTATAATATTTTATTTAACCTTTCATATTATTTATCAGTGGAAAGTTTTTACTAGGTACACTCATTAATTTAAAGCTACAGTTTCACAGTCCATTAAATCCTATTTGAACTTCTCTTCAAATGATAGCATTTCAAAGGACTCATACCTTTTGAAACCCAAAGTCAGCTTTTATCAGGATTTATTTTAAATCCATGAATGGCCATTCTTTCACTTTCCCTTAGAAAACAAAGCTTATTAATCTTAGCATAAATGGAATTTAAGAAATGCCGCAGAATTGATCAATCATAGTATACAGTTTCTGACTTTACAGTGACATTTAATTCATGAATTTATTGGAACTTTAGAGACAAAATGAGGAAATTAAAGAACCCACTAAGGCTTTCTTTGTAAATTTTGTGTTTTTAATATGTCTAAAAAGGTAATGTACTTGACATAAGGGTGTCTTCTTGAGCATGCTACCCTCCAAAATAATTTCTCCCCAAAGTAGTCACATTACTGACTCTAACACATTCATTAAATCAAAACCAAAATTAGATATCACCTCAAGCCTGTAGAATGACTTGTATACAAAAGATGAGAGAAAACAAATGTTGAAGTGGACACGGAGAAAAGGGAACCATTGTGCATTGCTGGTGGGAATGTAATTGGTGCAGCCTCGACAGAAAACAATATAGGAAGATGGCTGCAGGCAGGACCAGAGTGAGTGTGTGAGGGTGAGTGTGTGAGAGAGAGTGAAAGGGAGAGTGAGTGGACTTGAAGGTGGACGACCAAACCCCTGCAGTGCAGAGACCTGGATAAGAAAGTTCCTGTGCTATGGACAGGAGCAGCCAGCTACCTCTGTAAACGGCCCTTCAGGGCACTTCTCCCTGCGCCTCAGGGAGGTCCCACCATTTTGGAAGATCCCAGGTCTTCCCTGAGAGGAGGCAGTGGGAGCGGCTAGGGCCCAGCAACCTGAGCCCACCAGCACACCTGGTACCATTGGACCAATGAACACTCTGTCAACACAGACCGGTGCACAGTAGTGGACCAGTTACCCACAGGTCCTGTGGGGTGCTGAAGCACCGGTCCCGGAAGCTGCAAACATCTGGGAGCCCAGCTCTATCCCCCACAGTAGCAGCCAAATTAGAGTCTAGATATACCCCCAGCAACAGAGGCTGGGGAGCAGACATCCATCCCCAGGCAACAGAAGCACAGACTAGTAGATGAGACCCACCCCAAGTCTACAGTAAAAGCTGAGCAGGAGTTGAGCCCCACAGGGCAGCAGCACTCCCCAGCCACCAGCAGCAGGACCTATGGCTCCACAGAGGCCTGTGCTGTCCAGTAGATCACAAGTGCAGTGGGAAGCCAGAGCCCAACAGAAACTGGTCCTATCCTGCTGTCCACCCTCAGGAACTGCAGGGTGCAGGGCACCAGAGACGTCTGTGTGACCCAGCAGGGACTGTGCCATCCAGTTACCTACAGGTCCTGTGGGGTGCTGAAGTACCAGAGAGGCCTGTGCGACCCAGCAGCCCAAAACATAGGCACAGAGCCGGGTCCTTAGAGGGACTGAGAAATCCAGTTTCCCGCAGGACCTGCATGATGCGGGGGCATCAGAAAGGCCTGTGCAACCCAGCTTCACACAAGATAGGCTTAGAGGATGGAAAAAAAGGAGGTGGAGTGAATACAGACAAGCTACACAGACAATCTCCCAGGACCAAACAGAAATTACAACTAAAATAAAGACAAATCCTTGGAAAAAAAGCAACAGAAAAGCAGCAGGACAGGACCATATAACCAGGGACACTGGTAGGATCTGTGGAGGTGCTAGAGGGTAGTGGGCTGGGAACCCACGAACAACAGCAATCTTTGCTGTGAGCAGCGCCCTTGGGGAATTAAGACCAAGCCAGCCCCACAGCCCAGAGAGCCAGGACAGAACCCTAAAATAGCCACAGCCACTCACCTGGGGGCTACTGCAGAGGGAGGGCAGATTGGCCTGAAACTCTGTGGGGACACCCGGGATTTGGAGGGCACTCAGAGTTTTTGCTGAGTTGCAGCCACAAAGGACAACGGCCAGTGTGCTCCTTCCAAGAGCTGTGGGGAAAAGCATCAGCGCCCCCCGACCTTAGAGATTCAGCCTTTCCCAGGTGAGGCAAAGAAATAAAAATTGAGGCTCATTAAAAACCAGCATCTATCCCACCCTCTGGAAATCTTCTTAGGCAGAACACCAGGGCTACATTCCAAGCACTGAGTAACTAAGACTACTAGCCACCAGGAAAAAGCTAGAGGATAACTGAACCTTTCCTGGGCTTGCAAATCTACCCAGGAAAGTAAGACTTGACACTGGTGTTTAACATGGGCCCATACAGGCTCATACAAACCCACTAGAGGGAGCCACAAACAGCAGAACACCAACACCCACAGGGAAAATTTGGCAGGCTCCAAAACTCACTGAGATAGCCAAAATGGTGAAACAAAGAAAGAAATCCCAAATGAAAGAACACGAGACCTCTATTGAAGATGAGATCAATGAAATGCAGCTGAGCAAATTACCAGAGGTAGAGTTCAGAGCCATGATCTTGAGGAAGCTGAACAGCATGAGTAAGGACATCAGCACCATGAGTAAAGATATAGAAACAATGGAAACCAACCAAGTGGAAATGAAGACTGACATAGCAGAAATTAAGAACACATTGGAAGGACTAACCAGCAGATTAGAGGAAGCTGAGGACCGAATCAGTGAATTAGAAGACAGGGTAGAATGAATCAACCAATCAAAAACCGAAAGGAAAACACAATTAAAAAACATGAAGACAGCTTAAGAGAACTGTGGGACAACTGGAAATGTAATAACATTCACATCATAGGAATCCCCAAAGAGGAAGAAAATGGGCAAGGGTTAGAGAATATATTTGAAGAAATAGTGACAGAAAACTTTCCTAACTTGGTGAAGGAAGAAGGCATTCAAGTTCAAGAAGCACAAAGAGCCCCGAGTAAGAAGAACCAAACAGGCACACACCAAGACGTAGTAATCAAAATGCCAAAAAATTAAAGACAAGGAGAAAATCCTAAAGGAAGCAAGAGATAAGCAACAGGTTACCTACAAAGGAAACTCCATAAGAAAACTCTCAGCTGACTTCTCAACAGAAACACTACAGGCCAGAAGGGAGTGGCATGAAGTAATCAAGGTCATGAAAAACAAGGATCTGAATCCAAGACTACTCTACCCAGCAAGGCTATCATTCAAAATAGAAGGTCAAATAAAGAGCTTCCCAGACAAAAAAAAAAAAAAAAGGCTAAGGGAATATATTAACACCAAACCAGGACTGCAAGATATGCTAAATGGACTGCTGTAATTAGTAGAAGAAATAGGAAGAAAAATAGAACCACACTAAACAAAAATGGCAATAAATAAGTACACATCAATTATCACCTTAAATGAGAATTGTCTAAATGCTCCAATAAAAAGACATGGAGTAGCTGATTGGATAAGAAAGCATGACTAACATATCTGTTGTCTACAAGAGACCCACCTCACAGCAAAAGACTCACAAAGGTTGAAATTGAAGAGATGGATAAAAATCTTTCAAGTAAATGGAAATCAAAAGAAAAAAAAAGCTGGGGTAGCAATACTCATATCTGATAAAGTACATGTCAAAATTAAGGCCATAACTAGAGACAAAGAAGGCCACTACATAATATTGAAAGGATCTATCCCACAGGAAGATATAACCTTGGTAAACATATATGCACCCAATATAGGAGTATCAACATATGTTAAAACCCTTTTGGAGGACTTCAAATGAGAAGTTGACAGCAATACAATCATAGCAGGGGACTTCAACACCACGCTGACATCACTAGATAGATCTTTTAGACAAAAAATAAACAAGAAAACACAAACTCTAAATTAAGCACTTGATCAAATGGATTTAATAGCTATCTACAGAGAATTACATCCAAAAAGTGCAGAATTGACATTATTCTCAAGTGCACATGGGACATTCTCAAAGATAGACCCATGTTAGGGCATAAATTAAATCTCTACAGGTTCAAGTAGATTGAAATTATATCAAGCATCTTCTCAGATCACAATGGCATGAAACTAGAAATCAATTGCAACAAGAACATGCAAAGACATTTCAACACATGGAGGCTAAATAGCATGTTATTAAACAATGAATGGGTTACCGAGATCAAGGAAGAAATTAAAAACTTCCTGGAAACCAATGAAAACAAACACACAAGAACACAAAATCTATGGGATGCAGCGAAAGCAGTTCTGAGAAGGAAGTTCCTAGAACTACAGGCCTACCTCAAGAAGCGAGAAAAATTTCTAACAAACCTCACAACTTAAAGAACTATAAAGAAAACAAAAAGCATACCCCAGAACAAGTAGAAGGAAGGAATAGTAAAGATCAGAGCAGAAATAAATGACATGGAAACCAAAGAAAAACAATTCAAAGGATCAATGGAACAAAGAGCTGGTTCTTAGAAAACATAAAGAAGATTGATGGACCCCTAGCTAGACTCACCAAGAAACCAAGAGAGAAAACCCAAATACACAAAATCAGAAATGAAAGAGGATAAATAATAACTGACAACCCAGAAATATAACTGATCCTTAACAAACATTATGAACAATTATACGGCAACAAATTTGACAATCTAAGTGAAATGGACTAATTTATAGAAACACATAACTGAAAAACATAAGCCTCCCAAAACTTAACCAGGAAAAGATAGAAAAGTTGAACAGAACAACAACAACAGAAGAAATAGAAGATGTAATCAAGACTCCCCAGCAAACAAAAGCCCAGGCCCGGACGGCTTCCATGGGGAATTTTACCAAACATTAAAGGAAGAACTAATACCCATTCCCCTTCTAACTATTTCAAAACATTCAAGAAGAAGGAAGACTTCCAAACTCATTTTATGAGGCCAGCATAATTTTAATTCCAAAACCAGAAAAAGACACTACAAAGAAAGAAAACTACAGGCCAATATCCCTGATGAACATAGATGCCAAAGTCCTGAACAAAATCCTAGCAAATCGAACCCAGCAAAACATCAAAAAAATTATTCACCATGACTAAGTGGGATTCATCCCAGGGATGCAAGGCTGGTACAGTACTCCAAAATCAATAAATGTGATGTACCACATAAATAAAATGAAGAATAAAAACCACATGATCATATCAATAGATGCCAAAAAAGCCTTCCACAAAATCCAGCACCTATTTCTGATAAAAACGCTCAGGAATAGTAAAGATCAGAGCAGAAATGTGGGAATAGAGGTATCATATCTCGACATAATAAAGGCCATATATGAAAGACCTACAGTCAACATAATATTCAATGGGCAAAAACTAAAAGCATTTCCCTTACGAATAGGAACAAGGAAGGGATGCCCACTTTCACCACTCTTACTTCACATAGTAGTAGAAATCTTAGCCACAGCAATCAGACAGGAATAAAACATAAAAGGGATCCAAATTGGAAAGGAGGAAGTGAAACTGTCATTATTCGCAGATGACATGATACTGGATTTCTGGGTTGTAGGAACTAATTAACTAAAGGAAGACTATATTCATGAGAAAACATGGTTGTTTTAGGGTCAGTCCTCCCCCAAATCAATCAAAGACTCAAACAAGGGCTTGTATGCGTGTTGTTCACTTTGGGAAGTGAGCTCAGAGAGCAGAGCTTGGACTGGGAAGAGTGAAACAAAAGAGGGAAAGCTAATCCAACAGTGTGCTATTGAGTTGGTCAGTGCTATGGGCTACAAGGTCTCAGTTCTGCCAGGGACTCTCTGAGGAGCTATGCAGAATGTACCTCAGAATAGATAATCTGAGGGAACTAAAGAAGGGAGTATTTATCTCCCATTGGTCAAAGTGTTTCCTGGAATCTTAACACCCTTACAGTTCCAGGTTTGCCCTTGTATCAGAATGACTGCTGAGGAAGGTGCTGTCAGTAACTTGCACATCTGGTTGCTGGTTGCTGTAGAAATAGCTGGAGTGAAAAGATAGGCTGAGAGGATGTGGTGGTACACAAGAGATATCCTATATATAAGGGCCAATATACAATTTAAAAGAGAAGTTAAAAGAAGATTTATATGATGTTTTTTGTTTGTTTGTTTGCTTTCTTGGTTTTGTTCAAGAGAGAAATTCTGAGTCTTGAGGGAAAAAGTCTGTTTATGTGACACTCTTGTGGATATTTTAGTTATAAATGTGCATCCCAATTTAAGATCTTTAAGACTGTACAACTGGCATACATGCCATCTGTTGATAAGGTTTCATGAAAGAAGGATGTCTATGAAATATTGAATAATTGCTATGCTTGTGGTCTCCCTGTAAAAAAAAATAAAAAGTGACAAGAATTTATCCTTGCAGATAGACTACCTGTTTTTGTGATCTACTACACTGGAAACAAATGACTGGACTAGGGTTGAACTTTGGGTCAAAGATAGCACTGTATGGAGTAGCCAATGCCCCAAGATTTCACCTGGCCCAAAGCCTTTCTGTGGTGATAATGAAGACAAAGTGAACACAAAAAGAGGGCAGGCAAAGTAACAGGAATGGAGTAATAATGCCTGGTTCTGAGGGTGTGATAGTAGAAGGGCAGCTGTGTCACTTGACCTATAAAGGTATCTCAAGAGCATTGAGCACCCTTCTAGACTATCATGAGACTTAATTAAACCACAGTGGGCTGATCTCCCCTACTTCCTCACTACCCTTAGTGTTTCCATAGAAACTGAGTGTACCTAACTAATAAAGATGTCTTTCCTCTGACGATAGTCACCTTCCTCCTATCTTTCTTTCTTTTTTTTGCCTGTTAACTATCAGCTTTATTTTATTTGAAAATGTACAAATACTTTGAAATGTAGAAGAACTTAAGGTTGTTAGATTTATAAAACTCCATGCAAAGCCGTCACAACAAAGAAATTTGCACCAAATTAATCACTCCAGACTGCTAATTCCATCTGATAGTTTAACAATCCAGTATTTAGGAGAAGTGAAAGGAGTTAATATCGTCAACAACAAAAAAACCCAACAGTCATTTGTAACATGCTACTCTAAGAGGAACAACCAGTTAACAGATTACTGGTACCAAGAATTTCACTGGCAAACTTAGTGCTCCCTTCAAAAAATCTGAACTGAGGAAGGGAGTTAATGCAAACATTGTACATTTGGGAAAAATACTTCGTGAATTCTAACACTCAACAAAATATAGTCTTGTTGAGAGGGGGACCATCCTTAACACTGCAACTCAAGCTAGATCTTCAAGGTTCAGATTAGGCCACCTGCAGGGAAGGCTTCAGGCACAAGGAATAGGACACAAAGTGGGATAACTTATCAAACACCAGGGACAATAAGACCTGCTTGTTAGGAGCAGTTACATATCAGAATGATGGAAATTAAAATAAAAATTATAAGGTAAAAACACATATTCTAATGCACATGCACCATCAAATCATGGGGATATGGAAACTATTCTATAATAAGGTACAGTCTGAAAAATGCATGAGAATGTGGCGAGCCAAGCCACGGCTTAGTTTTGTTGAGTGCATCTGCAGTGTAAACGTTTAAGTTTTCTTCAGGGGTCACTGCTCTATTGTAGGGACTTTTATTGTAGGTGACTCTTTAAAAGGCATAACTGAACAGCTTTGATGAAAATATTTTGACTAGGTAAACTCTCCTGAGCATCATATGGGTTTTCAGGTCTACATCTCAAGTATTCAAGAGAAGATGGGAAGAAAAGAAACAACTCTCTTTATATTTTAAGGAAAGTTCTTTTTCAGAGGTTGTTCAGACTTTTCTAGATTAAATATGCAGGCAATACTACAGTTAAAGGGAAAACAAAGGGACTTAAGCTAAGTGGGAAGGAAACTTAATGATCTGCAATAAACCGGGGGGGTAAAAACAGACCTCAAAAGAGCAGGTGTGTACTATCTTTCCCTAAGTGAAGTGGAAGGTCATTATCCACTTGATCTTCCCAGTACATCATGAGTGCAACTCAGTTTGGGGTAAATTGTTTCGTGTATCCCTCAGAACAAAAATAGTTTGTATTTTCCCGTTTCTAACAAAGCAGTGGTTACGAGGTCCAGCGCCACCAGGCAACCTTCATTCTGTCCCACACCGCTGAAAGCGAATCCAAAGCGGGCCAGACATCCAGGATGGTGAACTGGTAGTCCTGTTTGACTTCGCCACCGTCGTAGTAGTCAATGATGTATCTGACTTCCGTCCCACAGCGGTTGATGATCCAGTCGTGCCTGTCGAAAGGCATCTCATACCCCATCCAGGAGCGGATTTTTGCCCGCGGTGAGTACTCTTTGGCCTTCCCTCTGAACCGGATCAACGAGGGACCACAAGAACACTCTGCAGCATGAAGAGCTTCCCACTTCAAAATCTCCTTGCAAGCCTGCTCGTTGTTCTGATTGTGGATTCTAATGATATTATACATGTCTTTCTGACTGATGTCATCGTCCTTCCACTTCCACCCTTTCTTTAACATAGCATTCCAGAATATCTGTTCGGAAGGATAAACCCACTTTTTTTCCGAATCAGCTCTCGGAATGGATAACTCCTCCCTCACAGTAGAGAATGTGAATGGCTGATCAGGGGCCGATGTCTGATTAGGTGGTGACATCAGATTAGAAGGATCTATGTTCTTATTCTCAGCCACAGCACCCGTAACAGGGCACTCCACATACTCATAGGCTCGGTCTTGGTGGGCAGACACAGAGTTGGTTTTGCTCTCACAGGCTGAGTCAGATGGTTCTGCACTCACTGGACAACCTTTCGTTTTCCCTTCATGCATTGGACATCCTGAAGGTGGGGATGTAGCCTGGTGATCTGAAGCGTTTGAGGTCTGAATTGCAACAGCAGGGGTATATGTAGACAAACCCATAGTTGGACCGCAGTGTTGAATCTGAACAATTCTGACCACGATCCAGGCTGCTCCGGGCGGCCGGCCCCGCCTCTCACTTCAACTCTGGTCCGGAGCGGCAACAAGCGGCCACCGCTGCCTTCTCCTAACTCGGTCACCGCTGTCGCCGTGGTCTATCTGCTTTCTTTCAAACTTCAACTATGCTTGCCTTCAATTATCAGTCCTCTGTCACTGCATACCCTATAGGATTATGTTTTCTGAAAATTTTGTTAGAATTCCTTTACATCCTTCTTATCCTTGGCTCCAAACTAAGAAGTTCTTCATTATAACAATAGAGTAAGCCTTGTAACAAAATAGAATAATCTAGAATGCTATGGACTCTAGGGGACTGTGTAGACAACTTGGTATAATGTGGACATGGGTTGGTTGTTGTGGTTTGTTTATTTTCTGTAAGTTTGATTTTTAAGTACTGAAGAAGGCTTGAGTTGAAAATTCTGGAGAGTGATCTTACTGACATTGTAGCCTGTGGATGCTAGAAACTAAGCGCCTGTATTGGAAATAACTGATATAATTATACCCTGAATTTACCCGGGGCTGCTACATTCTGATGTAATTGTTCTTGTCATTTCTGCTGAGACCACACAATGAGCCACTGACAAGTTATATACCACTCTAACAGAATGATATTTCAGACTCTGGCCTCCACCTACAATCTCTTTGACCTCTTGTTTCAGCTTTCTTTACATCTCAACCATCAACCATTTCTTCCATAAGCGTTCTGATTCAGTTTATTCTTCTAGAAAATCCATTTTCCTGCAAGGCAAAATGTCGTGTGGCACTGAGCCTTTGCTCTTTAGTTTGACATAGCTGCCTTACCTCTAGGCCATTTCGTTGTATTATATTTTCTTTTTCCTAACCTGTTGTCAAAAGCTTTTCAATACAAGAATCTTACTTAGGTTATAGAAAACCAAGGAGAAAATTCTGTAGTTTTGTGGAAGAAGTGGGAAGAAGACCACCAGCTGTTTCAAGAGAGTTAGAACTGGCATAAGCCATAAACTCCTCATCCTCATGACCCATTCTTCTCTGGCACCATGTTGTCTTCAACCTGTTCTTCTTCTCTTATCCTGCTCTACCTCCAGTGCTGCCAATGCTCAGGTCCCCAGTATACTGGTCAAGGATCTATATAGGATAAATATAACTTTTTTTTAAGCCCAAGGTTGACTGGTGATGTTGGAGTTTTGGACTATGTGCCTCCATGTTTTGAAAGCACTGCAAGGACAGGATTATCTTCAAAATGTTTTCTAAAAACTGCTTGGAATATTAAAACCAGGAAATAAATTATGTGTTTTTAAGTAATAGAAGAGACTCACTTCCAACTCCCTGCATTCTTGAGCCCCCTTTATTTTAGGTGTCCAATGCCACCGGCACTACTTAAGGAAAGGATAATGTAGGCAATAAAACCTGTCATTGAAAGGAGCACTATCCAAAGAGAGTTCACAGAGGGGGCTCTAAGGTTTATAGGTCATTCCCATTGGCAACGGTCATTTCTTTTTGAGCCACAAGTTTGTACAGATTGTTGGGTATTAGACTTACTCAATATCTGTCTAGTCACCTCCTTTATAATGTCTTGATTTTGTTCAGCTATTCAAGTTCTTCTATGCTTCAGGATTGGTAGGCTGGTCATAACTTCAGTCCCAAGAGTTAGTTAGCACTAACTCTGGTTTAGACTAGCCAGTTGTGGTAGACATGTTTTCCTTGTCAATGACTGACTTAACCCTGGGTATGTTATGCAATTCTGGCTAATAGCACAAAAAGAAAATTCTTTTGTGGGGGCTATGCTGGAGATTCTGGGAAAGGGTCCTTCATTCTTAAAAACAGATCCATGGAATATAAAGTCCCATTTTATCCTTTCTCTGGATATTAAATGTGTTGGATATTATACTTGTAATCACTGCAGCCATCTAACTTTCAGGCCAAGGATGAGGCCCATTCACAGAACAGGCTAGAACCAAAAATGTCATAGAAACTAGAGTGTAGCCCTGATATACCCTGCTTACAACTTACCCTGTCTTGGGACGACTGTTCATATGAGAAATAAATTCAACAAGTTTGAATAAGAAGATTATGGTACTTATAGTCCAAAGTATCCTAAAAGGCTCTGGCTGGTATTGCTCAGTGGTTAGAGCATCGGCCCATGCACCAGAGGACCACAGGTTCGATTCCAAGTCTAGAGCACATACCTGGGTTGCAGGTTGTATCTCCAGCCCTGGTCAGGCTCTTATGCAGCGGTTCTCAACCTGTGGGTTGTTACCCCTTTGGGGGTCAAACAACCCTTTCACAGGAGTCGCCTAAGACATAACAGTAGCAAAATTGCAGTTATGAAGTAGCAACAAAAATAATTTTATGGTTGGAGGTCACCACAACATGAAGAACTGTGTGAAAAGGTCTCGGCATTAGGAAGGTTGAGAACCACTGCTCTTGTGGGAGGCAGCCAATCGATGTGTCTCTCTCACATCAATGTTTCTCTCCCTCCCTCTCTCCCCCTCTTCCTTCCACACTCTCTAAAAAAAAAAAAAAAAAAAAAATCAATGGAAAAAGTACTCCTGGGTGAGGATTAACAAAAAAAAATTTTTGAGTATCCTAAAAAATCCACCTGACTTGACAAAATATAAGACCTTATAAGACTTCGGTTAATAATCATGCTTATTATTAATTATTTTATAATAATAGCTATATTTAATTAAATGTGTGCTATTTATATGACCCTGTACATCATCTCACAGTTTTTCTGAAATCACATCCTTCATTTCCATTTTACAGATCAGGAATCTGAGTCTCAGAGACGCTATAAGGTAAAGGTCTCAAAATTAGTAAGAGGTGGACATGGGCTTCAAACTTACCTGGGAGTTGTTCTAAACCTGTGAGTGTTCTCTGCACTCTCTCTACACCCTAAGCCACTTATCCAGATTACCTAGGACCTGACCTTTCTGAATTTCTTTTATTACCAAACCTTAGATATTTCATTTTCAAAAGAGCTTTTTCTTGTCCTCTTACCACTCAATCTAACCCCCAAATCTTGATAATGTTCTTTTGCCAATTCTATTATATGGATTAAAAATAATAGACCGTAAATAAATAAATGAATAAATAAATAAATAAAGCTGTAATATATACTGTCAGTGGAGAGAAGTGTTATCAAGAAAATGTAAGCAGGGCAAAGAGATAGAGAGTAATGTGGTGTGTGGGGGTGTCACTACGGTAGATTGGGTGTTCATTTTAGGCATTGCTGAGAAAGTGACTTTTAAACAGAGATGTAAATGAAATGAAGTAAGGGAATGAAGCATGATATTGTTTAGGGAAAGAGCATTCTAGGCGGAGAAACAGCAAGTGTGAGGCCCAGAAGTAAGAATTTAAAATGAGATGGTATACAGGGTCATGTAAATAACACATATTTATAAAATAATTAATAATGAGCATGATTATTGGCCAAAGTATTATTGGGAGTATTAAAGGGTAAAAAAGGGGCCAGTGTGGCACGAGCAATAGTAACATAAATCTAGTGGTAGGAAATGAGGTTGGGGAATTACACAGGGGCCAGGATCACATTAGGAAGTCTTAGACCATAGTAAAGGCTTTGGCTTTTATTCTAAGAGTGAAGACAATTCACTGGAAGATTTCTAGTAGGAAAGTAAATCTGGCAAATGTTTCAAGAATTACTCTGTAGTAGATATTGTGGTGCACTGCCCAGATCCTTCCTTCTAGACTGATGCACTCATTCTCCCACCTGCTGAAAGTTGTACTTCGATATCTGTGGACATCTCTAAGTGAAGATGTTGGGTAGACTGTTGACCATATCTCTCAGAGTTTAAGGGAGAATTTAGGTCTGCTAATATAATTTGCGGAGCCATGGGATTCAGTATAGATAGAGAAATGTCTGAGGATAAATGCTGAGACTTCCAAACTTTACATGTAGAATGTGTGTGTGTGTGTATTCATATATATATATATTGAATTGAATATATATATATATTGAATTGAATATATATATATATATATTCAATTACAAACAGCTGTGATCCCTAAAAGAAACATATCTAAGAACCATCATAATTTGTGTACTCAGAAAAAACTACTGTGATTTCACTGTGGTCATCCTTTATAAGCAACATTGTTACAGCTTTTCAATGATTATAACAACCTGATGTTAAAAAAAAATTAGTAAAATGTTTAAAATTCTCTTTAAAACATTTCTGTCATTTCTGGTGTTCAGACACCTGGTTAAACAATATGCTGCTGTATTTACATATTTTCTTATTGTCTGCTACTTCCCAAAAGATTTGAGGCAATGTCCAGCAGTACAAGTAAATATAAAGTTAATAAAACAAAACAGAAAATCAAGACTTGTGTCAAAAAGAAATGGTGGGTGAGCAATAAGTGGAAGAAGAGAAGGTAGGCAAGCAACTGCACATGGGGAAGGCCAACTGCTATCAAGGTGTGAAATCTGAGAGATTCTAGAAAGTACACATTGACCAAAGCCTGAAATGTTTTTATTTTATTTTGTCACAGTGTCTGAAATATTACATTAAAAAGCCTCTTGGATAGGGGTTTCTCAAAATGCACATTCGGTCCACCATTTAATACCTGGCACTTACTTCACACCTAATATGAATAAACTTCATTAAAATGTGGTCAACCCAGATATATAATTTACTCTGAAGACAAACGTCTAGGCAACATCATCACAAGGTAATTGCAGGATGTTGGGAGACCCATCGATTCCTCCATCCCCATCACATTCTAGGCTTCTCTTTCTGCCTGCCTTCTCAATTTCAGCTTTTTCTCATATCTCTCCTTGGCTTCCTCCTGGTGTACTTTCAGTGGGCAACCTCCTCCTTTTCCAAGATCCTGCTGATGGAGAGAAGAGGACCCCTAACGTTTCCAATGCTTCTCAGGAGCCAGCAAGGGAATGCTGGGAAAGATATTGTTCATGGATTGACCTCAGAAAGATGGGTTCTTATTTG